AGAGCAGCGGGAGCTGCGCCGGCCGCCTCGGGAGCGGTTTAGCTGTGTTAGTGTGGCAGTGCAAATCGGTGCTTTATAAAGAGAGTTTTGTGTAGGTATGTAACGCACAAGCTGTAACAGTTTGGTCACCATTATGCAAACTGTTGTTGGAACTGCAGTTACTTAGTGGTCATGCTCGCAAAAAGAAAATACTTCGGCTGTGTTCATGTGCTCATCTGCCCCATGGGAAATACCCCGTAGTCCACAAGGTCCTTGTAGAAGAACAGGGGAGCCTGTGCCTGGTTTAGGTGTGATCTTACTACCCCTGTGGTGGAAATGAGCATGTGTTTGGTCATCTGACTACAAGACAGGCACAGTGCAAACAAAGATACAAACGATTGTCTGTGCTCTGTGGATTATGGGTGCCTGTTGTGTGCTGCACAACACCTGCAAGGAAGTTGTGTGCTTTTGCATCGGGGCTGGCATACCAAAGTGCAGTTTCTTTAGGAATGCTGTGTGCAGTCCCTTTTGCAAAGTGGTTGCGGCAGTCAGCTCAGTAATAGGGTCTGCGCTCATGCCGAGGAATCCAGGAGACTTTCCATGCGCGTGGGTGGGTGTCCATGTGCGTGGGTAGCTGGAGGAACACAGGTGGCAGGAGTGTTGTCACGAGTGACCGCTGCGTGGGCTGCTGTCCGCCTTTCACTGCCAGGACGCCGCACGACCTGGGGATGGGTTCTGAAGTGCTGATATGTGCAGCACTTACCCCAGCACTTGCCCATAACACACTGTGTTTGGGGAGGAAAAGGGCACAGAGGCCTTGTGAGGGTGTATTGTCCTGGCATGATGTACGGGTAGTGAAGCACATGGTGGGGCCCTAGTCACTGATCTGCAACAGGACTTGGGGATGTGTTTTCTGACTTAGCCAGCTGCCTTATAGGTTTCCCCCACAAATCCCCAGAGAACGGTTTTCTTTAAAGAAACTTAACAGTCTTGGTGGTAAAACCAGTCATGTTTGTCACTTCCCTTTAGCTCTGAGGCTAGTGCTATAACTTCTCCTTCCCCATTTATTTTCCCTGCCTCTCCACCTGCTATGGAGATGGGGCTGTGATGAAGAGCAGGCAAAGGGGCTGTCACTGGTTGTGCCTTCACGGAAATCTCTTGTGGCGGAAGTCCAGGCCTGGGCCCAGAGCGCATGTTCTTCTTGGGACACTCCCTCACGGCAACCCCAAAACTCAAAGAAACAAGTCTCAGGTGATACCTGTTCACGGCTGTTCAACAGCTTCATAACGTGGGGGCGTCTCCTGTGTTACCTTCAAAGTGCAGTTGTGACAGAGTGTCAAAGCCAGGGCCTTCATCTTCATGGCTTTGGTTTTCATTTCTCTGACTAGATTTAACTAGACAGAGTCTAAAGATTAAGCCTAAAAAATAAGAGTTATCTTTCACATTGCTGCAGTCCATAGACAAAGAGTAGCTCTTTGAGGGGGCAGTTCATCTCACCCAAAGCACCTATTTTTGGGAGGACAGGCTTGGCTCTGCTTTGGGTTGCTGATGGCCGCCTGCTCGCACAAGGACTGTGGCGTCAGAGCACCTGGCAAAGTCCCCGCTCCTGTTGCTGGTTCCTGCCCGTGGGGTCACCGCTAGAGCAGAGCAGAGCAGAGCAGGGCAGCCGCACACGAACCCTGCAGAGAGGGCACGGGGTTGGTGTCCCAGCACGGCCCTCTGCGGCTGGCTGTGCTTCCCGACGCTTTTCCAGACCACAGCATTGACAAAAGTTACCCATGGTTTATTTTTCTTATTGTCTCTGCTTTACTGATGTTCTTAAATACTCAGTGCAATCACAGAACACCTGAGATGCTGTGTAAAACGGGCTACTCAGTGTGTTTAGAAAAAAAAAATCAGCAGACATACAAGTTGCAAGAGAAGGGGACTAACAGTCCCAAGGTCTTAAATATTTTTCTTACCTCCCATTCAGCTCAATTAAGAAACCCCCAAAACTAGGGTTTTGTTATCTAAAATTAGGGACTCCACACCTGTGGCTGACCATGTTTATATATTTTTTTTTCTAGTAAACTGAGGCTTGGTTAAGCTTCTCCAGTAAGACCTTAAGTCTTGTGGGTTTGGTTTTCTTCTTTTTGCAAATCACTTAGATTCTTTGGCCCTGTATCCAAAATAATTTAGATGCCCGACTCCTAATAAAACCCAGGCATTTCATGCCTGTAGGAATCTATTATGTGCCTCAGCCCTGTGGATATGCAGAGAGCTGCAAGTTACACCATGTGGTGCAGCCCTGCTGTATCAGAGACACCTCTGCTCAAAGCAGACTGATACAGCTACAGAACACAGTGAGGACTCAGATTAAATACTACTAATAGCTATGAGTAATAATATATAAATAAATATTTATAATATATACAAATAAGTTACATGTATATATAAATAATAATAATTCAAATATTAGCTTGTATTTCAAGAGCATTGTTGTCATATCAGAGTGGCAATACAAGCAGGCTAAAACATACTGCCTCTGAGACCCGAATCAGAACTTTCTTGGTAGAGTTGTACTTCTGGTGCTTGCAATATTTTGTATGCAGGCATCTCTTTAGTCACCTTTGAAAATATTTTTATTAGGCTGCTCAGTCCTTTTGAGGAATTTTAAACTTTGAACCTTTCTTATGAGGGCTATAATATCCTCCAAAAATATATCCCTGACATGGACAGAAACAAAGTACTTCCATGCCGATAAATTTTGATTGATAAGGTTGTGAGATTCAAAACTAGTTCTGCTTTTCTAATAGTCTCTCTCTTTTTTTTTTTTCTCTAAGCAGAAGTCACCACAACAGGTACAAAATACTATTTTGCCTTTAGTTGACAAACATCGCCTTTGGGGCTGAGTTCTGGTTTCATGGTTTTGGATTTGCAAACTGCGATTTGCTTCTGTATTCCTAAGCTATGGTGCTGTCTGCTTACATTTTTTTTCTTGATTAGTTTGTACATCTAAACTTGAAGCTATCTGGAGAATGTGCTGAGCAACGTTGCCTCCTGAACAATACAGGAATTCAATGAGCTTGCTGAATCGGTGCAGCCGGGGGCCCGGTTCTGTCGTGCACAGAGTCCTCTCTGTCTACTTCAGTCTTTCAGCTGTAAACCCACATTCCTTATAAAGCAGTTCCTGCGGTCTATCAATGGGGCTGTAATATCCCATGTTCCTCCTTTGCATTCTTCACTCCTGGCAACCACAAGGGAAGGGATGTTTAAAGGGGTGGTTATTGCTGAGGGAGTAGAAGCTAGGGGTTACAGGATGGGTTCTAAGTAAAACTGAGTAAAGGATCTTTTACAGACACCCTTGATTGTCATAGTAGAAAATGGAAAATGTGAGGCTGTTTCAGGGACCTGCCTGCTCAAGTTGATGAGACTCCATTTCCGCTCTGCTCTCTGGTGCAAATGCCTCAAGTCAGAAAAGCAGCTTCTGAAGTGCACTGACAGGAGGGCAGTGCATCAGTGGAGAAGAATATCCCTGAAAATGCAAGGATTGTGAACCTCCTCCAACAGGCCTGCGCTGTCGACTGTAGCATGTAGTCTTTCCAGAGCTACTGTCACTTCTCCATCAGAAATGGATCATTCTTAGGCCTCTGATGTGCCACCTACAGAAAATAACTGCAGAAATACAACTGTTTCCTGAAGGGGTGGGCACAGGAGCTAGGTTTGTGTTTGGACCACAGTAACACCATGAAAAGGTTTGTAGGGCACCCAAAATAGCCTGTATTGGATCACCGTGACTAACGCAACCAGTACAAGGAATTAACAAAAAGCTTTGTGAGTTTATCTCTCTCTGAGGCTTGGTACACTCACAGAGGCTCAGTTACTTGATCAGTATTCAGTAACTTGCCCAGTGTTTGAACCTTGGAGCTTTTTCTGGTTTCTGGTGATCACCTGGCTGAGAGCTGATGCTCCTGTTCATCAGCATAGGCTAAAAGAAACACAAGGTATTAGAAAGTTACTGATCACATTGAGGGCATTGTGCTTTGATCCCAAGTGAACCATAACATCAAACGCGTACAGAAATACCTTGTAATTGTTGCCTCACATGACTTACCCCGTGAGCAAACACAATAAATATCTTGGGATTTTAAGTGATCCTGGGGCAAAGAGACCTAAGCCTGCAAGCAAGGAATCTTTACGAGACAACCTTCTCACGTGGCATAGCACAAGCTACAATGGAGAGGTCTTTCTGTGGTTAAGCACCATGATTTCAGATCCAGAAATGGATCTGCAGAATGACAGTCCTGAAGTGACCAAGCTCTTCTGCCAAGAGTCAGCTTTGTGATTTCACAGCACCACTAGGCCTCTCCAAAAGATGGGTGAGAGGCTAGTAGTCTCACATCACTCACTGTCACCTGAGGAGCATCACTTTAGTTAATACATCCCCTAGCTAATACATCCCAAGTTTATCTTGTGGCTATTCCTACCATCCTACAAATCAACACCAATGAACAATACAGTTCTTTCTTAGGGTAAGGTATGGGCTAAACTCTTTCAATATGGTAGATGCCTTGCTTTGCATAGTAACATATTTCTTCTGCACAGTGGTCCGGACTTGGCCATGGCATAAGCTCATGCAATGCTGCAGTAACTGGGGCACTCACACTTCGGCCACAGGCCAGGTTTGTGTCAGTTATGCCCATACCACAGTTTCACGTGGTGAGAACGGCATGGCTCAGATCTCAGAATAAAGGAACGGGCTGAACATTCTTGGTTACCCGAAAGCTACTGTCAAAACAGCAGAATTTAAAAAAGTATAAAGCAAGGGAGAGGAGAGCAC